GTAAATGCTGTTCTGAAACGTCAGTATGGTTAATATACCCCAGTCTCTTTTCGTTCAGTTTTCTAAGTTGTTTGAAAGTTTGGGTAAGGTTCAGAGTAGAATACGATTGGGAAGTTGTAATGTAGGGAAGGTTTAGTTTGAGGAGGGTGGAAGATTTTTCTATGGGACATGAAGGTTCAGAGTCATCAGGTTTAGAACTTAATGGAGGATTGCTAGGAATATAGAGGATACCAGAAGGAATGTTGTTTTCAAGGTGTGCAGAAGATTCGGCTTTTGGAAGGAGAAAAATTTCAGAGATTGTGAAGTTTGGAAGGTCATCAGGTTCAGGGCTTACTAGAAGGTTGTTAGGAATAAGAGTGGAAGCCGTAACTTCTGCATGAGTAGAGCATTTAGGAGAAGGGTCAAATGTAGACTTTGGAATAGTTCCAGGGGAAGTAGTGATAGAAATGGAGTTTAGATGTATAGAAGTGTGGCATACGGATGTATGTACTTTGGGTTGAAAGGTTGTGACTGAGGCAGGCTTCATGGATTGGGCATCAGGTTTAGGGCTTAGGGCAAGGTTACTAAAAATAAAAATGGAAGTCGTAACTTCAGTATAGGGTAGACATTTAAGAAAAGGGTCACAATTAGAGTTTGGGACAGTTCCAGGAGAAACATAGTTTGGAAGTGTAGTAGAGATGTGGCATACAGATGTATGTTCTTCAGGTTGAGGGTTTTTTAATAAGACAGAGGTATGGGGAATAGAAGAGGTTGAAGGAGATTTAGGACTAGGGGTGTTTGGTTGGTTTATGCTGGAGTATTCAGTATTAATTTGTAGGCGAGGAAGAATAAAGTTGGTAATAAAGAAGCGGAAATTACAAGATAGGGAAACGATTCCTTGGAAGGAAAGGTGTAAACTGTCCTTTACTAAGAAATGTCTCCTGCTTTCAAGTTTCAAGTTAGTGTTGTAAAGGAAAGACAAGCGTGGGTTACTTCGACATAGGTCATGTGCAAGAGTGTTGAATTTGTCAATTTTGTGATTTAAAGTGTTAGTAGTACAGACTTGTCTTAGAAAGAGATCATCAGTATATCTATTAACGTCATGGTAAATAACGCTTGAGAAACATACACGAAGGTCAGTATGGAGTGTCAAAATATGTAACAGTAAGGTTTGTAGGTCATTAAAACAGTTATAAGTGGTCGTTGAGTTCCGTTTGAGGTCGTTAGTTCCAACATGAAGAATTAGGTATTTTACAGTCTGTGGCAGTAAAGATATAGAGTCTAAAAGGTCAAGTGAAGTGGCTCCACTAATGGATTTAATTAAAACATGTTGGTCTTTAATGTAAGAAAGGTGTTGATACAGGTATTTAATAATAGAATCTCCAAAAATGGCAATGCAAGGTGAAAGAAGATGTAACTTACCATTGGTAAAATCGGGTCTGTGGTCCAAATAATTCTATGTGTAGTATTCATAAAAATTCTCAGTTACTTGCAAACTAAAATACATATTATATTGTCAAACTGGACTCTTGTTATTAGTGCAGTGCCTCAAAGATCCGTGCTTGGGTCTTTCTTTTTCTTATTTGAGTTAGTGATATTGATATAGGCATAATTAATAAAGTTTGTTATTGTTTCAAAAATCAGAGACATGGAATACAAAAGATCAGTTAGTAAAATTAGTTAAATTTTAGGACTAGGGGTGTTTGGTTGGTTTATGCTGGAGTATTCAGTATTAATTTGTAGGCGAGGAAGAATAAAGTTGGTAATAAAGAAGCGGAAATTACAGGATAGGGAAACGATTCTTTTAAGAATTTTGAAATGAAGCATTTCTATAAACAAATCACATTTATAACATTAATATAAATTCTACAGTGAGTGTTATGTGTCACTTCATCACTATAGTTAGAATAGTTTGCCCTTAATTATGTGAAAAACATTGTTTTGTGAATAATAAGGGGACACAAGATTGGTGCTTCCCTCCTGAATCTGCTTCTGTTAATGGAGTCCAGTCAAACCAAATTCTTCTTGTTAGTGGGGTGCCTCAGGGGTCAATGCTTGAGCCTTTGCTTTTTCTTATTTGCATTAATGGTACTGATAGGAGCATAATTAGTAAAGTTTGGGTGTTTCTAACTGTAATGAGGATGTTGAAGCACTACAGAATGGCTTGAATCATTTGGTAAGTTTGATAAATATTAAGCAAATGATATTTAATTATAGTAAGTGGCTAAGTACAAGGTCAGACATTTAGGTTATAATTTGGATCACACATTTAACATTGATGGGAAAACATTCAATAGAGTAACTGAGGAAAAGGATCTTGGCATAGTGATGGATAAGTCAATTAACCTTAACTACTAGCTCTGTTGCTAGTAGTAAAGTTAATAGAATTTTATTTAAACATTCACAAACAATGATTATGAGTCAAGAAAGAGAATTATCTCAATACATGTGGTTAGTTTGGCCTAACTTTAAATACTGTATAAAGTGTTGCTCCTTTTATCTATGAAAGGTCTATAAGTGCTACAAGCAAGTTCTGAAACTTTGTAATGTTACAATGAAATATTTAGTGTTTAGCAACAGCAAGTTATAATGTTAGAGGCTAGACTTACTACAAAAGTAATGCATTCATGGACCAGTTCAGACAACATGACACTATTAAATCAGATTCCAGAATTCAACATCACCCAATTAATAAACCTATGGACTATGATGGAAAGGTATGATGGAAGGCAAATCACATTCAATTTAAAATAATTTCCAAGTGGAATACTGAATAACAAGCTATTCATTTTGTACCCACGTTTAATGACATTAAGTAACCTATCAGCTGAGAGCCATAACAAATATCAAACATTGATTGTTATTTCAACCAATACTGTTAAGCTGTTAATAAAGTCACAGAGACAACACCCTAGGGATGAGGCTTCAAGCCCAACTAGATTAAAGGAACAACAAAGAAAGAATTAGCTGGATTTATGGAATGAAGTTCAGCTGGGAATACTCCATCTGCCTCAAATGAGATAAGGAAAACCATCAATGAATCCTTGGGTTTATTGATGGAAAACCTTGCAGTATATTGAGCAACATTGATTGTACAGCTAAAATACTTCAATCCAATTTGGTAATGAAAGGTGGGAAATTTCTTCCAGAGATGAAGAAAGAAGAAGGATTGATATGAACACTAGTGGATGTGAAATTCCATCAGGAGTAAAGTTAGATTTGTTTGTTTGGAATTAAGCACAAAGCTACACAATGGGCTATCTGCCATTTGCCCGCCACGGGTATCGAAACCCGGTTTCTAGCGTTGTGAGTCTGCAGACATACCGCTGTGCCACTGGGGGGCATTAAAGTTAGAAGTTACCTGAACTGTAGGAAGCTTCTCTACACCTCGTGATTTGTAGGTAATTGACATTGAAAAAAAATGCATATTGGGAACTGACTTCATGTGGAAACACGAATTCAAAGTCAGGCTAGCTTCAAATCGTATTCTCTTTATGATTAAGATATCCCTGCACTATATGATAATTACTACAACAGAGGTTGAACTTCCAATGATAACATGAAGGGTGGTCAATGAACCAAAGAAGTAAAATATTCATAACAGGAGATATAAGGTATACATTCTAAATCTAGTGATTGGGGTTTGGTGGAACCAAATATTTTGGCGTGTCCTGAAGGACTGATGGTTGGAAGAGCTCTTGTGGATCTGAAGAACAAAAATATCATATACAATGTTATCCAGGAAAATACTTTAAATCAGCTTATGATAAAATGAAAAGTCATTATAATGTTAGCATTGATAATATGGGATTCCATCAAGATGATGTGGTTTGACTACAAATCCCACTGCAAGAAAGAATTAATTCCAAAGTTAAGCAGGTGTTGGGAGATCTACAGTTTGTACTGAAAAGAATGAATGTTGTGTTTTACAGAATCCAGAAGGACAGGCAATTGAAGCCAAAGGTGATCCACCATGACTACTTTTGGAAGTATATCTGAGAGAGAATGACTGACTGTGTAATTCCAGAAAAGAATTTGCCAATGGAAAGCCAACATGCTAAAGATCCCATGATTCCTGTCAAGATCATTAAGGACAGAGCCATCAGTAGATTTACTTAACCACCTCAGAGAGAACTCCTCCAGTGATAGGACAGCAAGTGATAACACAAGACAAAAGCCAATCTCATCTCTATATCATAACCCTAAGAGAAGAAAATAATCAAAAAGATTTAGTGAATGGGCAGTTAAGTGTGCCATCTTATTTGTGTATTAGGACTGTTCAAGGGTCTTCACAATCCAGAAAGGGAGCAGTGTCATAAGCTAAATTTTCAATGTTTTATATGCTACTATAAGAAGCTGATAATGACGTAATAATCTTGAAATTTTGTGGAAATAACAACACATTATAAGTACTAGTAATTAGTCTCTGAAGTATTAAATAAAAATTCAGTGAAGCACTCCATGAGTGATTTGGTTCTGTGTTTGTAGTGAGAGTTACTTTGTCTATATTGATTAGCAAGGAAATTCTTTAAGTTTATTTGTAAGTTAGGCAGACCATTAGTTTTGGAATTTCTGTTCAAATGTTTGTGAACTTAGGCCTATAAATCATGTAAAAGTGAACATGGCTATAGCAAATGTTATAGAAGAAATGTTAATTCCTCATTGTTATGTGAACTTGACATTATTTTTACCAAATAGTCCAAAAGAATCTTCTAAATGATAGAATACATTATAACAATAACATACAGACAACAAGGGATCATTCTGATGATATTAAAGACTGTTCTTGTATGCTTAACGTTTAGAAAAGTAAAAATTTAAACCTACACTATATTTTTTTCAGGAAATCATCAACTCCCTTCTTATTCTTACTCTTGAAAAGTGCCAGCCTCCACTTCTGCCAATGGCAACTGATTATATATGCCTGTTAGTATTACTATTAGAAAAATAAAACTGTTGTAACTGGAGCAGAGCCCCTCTTTTCCAGATTTTACTTATGTCTTCTTGTTTCATTCTTTATCCTATCAATTCACCATATAATCTTCTAAATTTCATTACAATCACTTCTTATCTTTCTTTTCTCAAGAGAAAATAAATTGAGATATTAACTTTTAAATTTATATAATCTTCCAATAAACCTTTTCTATTAAGCGAATAGTGATACAACTTACAAGTCTGAGCTTCAATTACATTTTAAGTTCGTAAAACATTGACACCTTCTAAGTTCTACTAGTACTAATACTACTGAAATCTGCTACAACTAGTAGTAGTAGTACTAGTTCTAGCAGATTTCTTTGGTGATCTTTAAAATACGAGTCTCATTTCCGGCCTTCGTGGCATTAAATCTCATATTTCAAAAGAAAAGGTATAGGCAGGAGTAAATTAATGACGTTAAACTTTGAATTTGATATAATAACTAGTAAACTAGTAACAATTAGAAAACTGAAAACTAAGCAACGTAACCCAATTTAGGCTTAGAAGTTAGAGTGTAGACTCGGTCTTAAGCTTAAAAGTAAATTACATTTCACGTTTTCAAATTTCGGCTCTTAACCCAAGGATTAACAATATTACTTACAAAAGCATTAATAACTTACAATTAATCTTTTTAATATAACCTTATTACCAAGATATTCCTAGAATTCTGAGTAAAGAACTATAGATAAAACTTTACATGTGTTCAAGAATACCATATCACAAGTTGGACAGTTGCGAACACCATAAAAGGTGTTGCCCGGTTGACAATTAAACGAAAACGTGCTCTCAGAAATATTCGGTATACATCAGTGCAGTTTCAAGCAATATTAATAGGATATATAGGTCAATGGTTCAGCGTATATTTGCTTTGCTTATCTTACTATGTATTTAACGGACGAAATCACCTCTGAATAATGACAGTAACTTAGCTTTCATGTTTTCTTTTTGCGTGCTATACAAAATAGGCATATATTCTCTACAATGATTTGTTTTACGTAGGTTAACGTAACTCTACAGCAAGTTACAACAGTGCACAAATGCTCAAACTTGTAAAAACTTTAAAAGAGGAAATAAAGTAATTTGCTCTAGTCACGTGGAATGAACGTTGAATAATTTTTACTGCATAACTGAAAAGAACATGCCAACGAAAGAACAACGCTACAATAATATTACCAAACTGCATGAATTGTTATAGTGTGAAGTAAATTAGTTGGTGAAATATAATATTACGTCTCTGGTCGTCTTTTTACGGAAAATTAACTAATTTTGTAATATATCAACTTCTATATTATAATATTTTCATACTGTTTTATGATAGTTTTGTAAAATATCAACTTCTATATTATCATATTTTAATATTGTTTTGTAATATATTTTTGATTGAAGCACTGATTAAGTTGAGTTTTAAAACTTGTTTGAGAAAGATGCTATTACAACATATTGTTACGACAGCGGAGGTCACGTGATGCTAGTAACACGTCATATTCTCGAAGGTTCGTAAAGCCTCGAGCGTATACTAGATTTTCGGTATTCTTGTATATATAAGACGGACAAGAAGTGACGGCAACAATGAAATTGAACTGTGGACAGAGAGAGACGTATTGTTGGGTCGAGCGCGTGTGACGTTCGTTGTGAATTATAGCGTTTGTTTAACTTATAGTGTAACAGTTGAAATTAAGTGAATTTCAAAGTTGTATTGAGAAAGAATAAACTAGTTTTATTTAAGAAAGGATTTGTATCGGTAAAGTTTCTTCGGAAAGAAGTAATATATCAACTTCTGTATTATAATATTTTAATATTGTTTTATGATAGTTTTGTAATATATCAACTTCTGTATTATAATATATTCATACTGTTTTATGATAGTTTTGTAATATATCAACTTCTGTATTATAATATTTTAATACTGTTTTATGATATGGTTACATTTTTTAATTATACACCTACTTATCTGGATCATGGTTACATTTTTTAATTATACACCTACTTATCTGGATCATGGTAACATTTTTTTAATTATACACCTACTTATCTGGATCATGGTTACATTTTTTTAATTATACACCTACTTATCTGGATCATGGTTACATTTTTTTAATTATACACCTACTTATCTGGATCATGGTTTACAATTTTTTAATTATACACCTACTTATCTGGATCATGGTTACATTTTTTAAATTATACACCTATTTATCTGGATCATGGTTACGAATGAAGAAACAGAGATTGTTCACGTTCTTTGATTATGATATTGGAAGAGAGAACTTCTCCAACACGATTGATGTATCTGAGACCAAACATTATTTTGTTATCATTACTTTACATCTTCTCTGGATGATTTCTCTAACAACTTTCCAGAATATTTAATTCACTCGTTAAAGTTTTCTCCAGTACCGTATACTTGTGTTTATTGTTTTGTATTATTATTTTTTGTTCGCAGCAGTCCTGGAAAATTTTGCTTTTACGTTATTTCAATCCAGTCGGGGCACACGAATCTGGCCGAATAGGAGACGACCCGAAGGGAGTTCCAGCCCAACTCATTCCTTTCATCTGTCACGTGGCTGTTGGAAGACAACGAGAAGTGCAAGTGTTTGGGAACGACTATGACACACGAGACGGGACAGGTAACTTAACATCTTAAACATATCTAAAATTGACAAACAAAATAAAAAATGAAAGCTTATTTACTGTTACACAAATTTATGGAATATTGTTTGTCAGTTATTGAGATTACGACTCAATTGCTATTTTTAAGTTGAAAGTTCTATTAGTATTTATCCTATAACTGCTAACAGTGTATAAAGCACATTTATGTTCAACTTATGCCAAAATTTCTGGAGTTCGATTCCCTGTGGTGGACACAGCAGAAAGTGACAACGTGACTTTGCTGCAAATTAAACAAACTTATGAAACGTGAAGGTTTAGTAATTTTTTTATAAAAATCTGAAATAGTTTAAAGGGAAAGTATCTCGTTAATACTTCTAAAATGTTTTCAACAATGCTAGCCAGGTTTTAAAAGAATACATTAATTTTTTCTTTCAGCAATACGTGACTACATCCACATTGTAGACGTCGCCTCGGGTCATCTCAATGCGCTTAACAAGCTTCTGGATACTGGCTTCTCAGGCTGGAAGGTGAACCTACTTCATAATACGGGCTTAAGTTATCAGATAATAAACCTTGGCGAAAGTTGATAACAGTAACGCTACATCCAAACGTCTCTCACATCCTTTGAAAAACATTGATCGGTTACTATAAACGTTGAGGATTTATTTTTTTATTGTGAACTTATTTTAGACACTGACCATGTCTCAGAACTAGAGGATCGGTTCAAGTTTAAACTATACATAGCTGTTTGTGGTATGTGAAATATACCTGCTGTTTGTGATATGTGAAACATACCTGCTGTTTGTAATATCTGAAACATACCTACTGTTTATGATATGTGAAACATACCTACTATTTGTGATATGTGAAACATATCTACTGTTTGTGATATGTGAATCATACCTACTATTTGTGATATGTGAAACATACCTACTATTTGTGATATATGAAACATACCTGCTGTTTGTGATATGTCAACATTACGCATTCACTACATTTTTTAAAAGTTCTAAATTGCACCTGTTGACTCATTTGTAGTAAATGTTACAACTTAAGTTACTTAACCATCTATGGATTGTAGTGACCATATTCTTCAACTAACTGATATTGTCAAGGGCCATTCTCCCTTTGGTGTTTCTAAACTTTCCCATGGAAGGTAGCGCTGGACAATTCGTTAGACTTGTGTTAATATGTTCTCCAGCATACCTATAGGTATAGAAACTGCCCAAGGGGCTGCATGCCCCAGCTCTGGAAAGGTCCACTTGTGAAATGTATAAGACTAATACTTTTTATACCCAGAGGTCCGTTTGATTATATTCATTTTCAACAAACAGAAGATGTTATTATGTAATACACAAAATGAACATTTTCGGGATCCAGGAGCCCATCTGATAGACAGTTACAACTCGTGATAGGCCCACTTGTGAACAGGACCAGCTCATCAACTAAAGGCCTCCCATCTCCCATTCTCATTTTATATTCTAAACTTAGATCAAAATCAAAGGAATTTAATTTTATTCTACATAAAAGTTTCTACTTGACCATCTTGCTATTTATAGGTTCTGTCGCATCTGTTGAGAAATAAAGGGTTTATTTGTAGGTATCGCTTTATGGTACATGAGCCTTAAACGATCTTAGTTTTCTTTCTCTTACATTTATTTTGTTAATATTTTCTTGTCATTAGCTTATCTTATTGGTATTTCCCTGTCATTGACTTATTCTATTTATCTCTTTCTGTCATTAGCTTCTTGTATTGATATTTTCCAGTTATTGGCTTAATTTTATCTTTGTTGTAATCTCAGCTGTAAGAATGGATACTTTGCTAGATGTAGAATTGTAGCTGAATAATTAACCTGTGACTGACAAACAATTCTAGAAAATTAAGACAGCCTAATCATCATTGTATTGAATTTTGTTTTCAATTACTAGGCCTACAATCTGGGTACAGGAAAAGGGCATACTGTGATGGAGATCTTAGAAACCTTCGAAAAAGTTTCTGGAAAAACAATACCTCGCCACGTTGTGGCGCGTCGATCGGGTGACGCTGTTGCAGCTTATGCAGATCCTATTCTAGCAGAAAAGGAACTTGGGTGGAAAGCTACAAGGGGATTGTTGGAAATGTGTAAGTGTCACTGTGGTTATCTTGAAATGCTACAAAGGGATTGTTGGAAATGTGTAAGTGTCACTGTGGTTATTTTGAAAAGCTACAAGGGGATTGTTGGAAATGTGTAAGTGTCACTGTGATTATTTTGGAAAGCTAAAAGGAGATTGTTGGAAATGTGTAAGTGTCACTGTGGTTATTTTGAAATGCTACAAGGGGATTGTTGGAAATGTGTAAGTGTCACTGTGATTATTTTGGAAAGCTAAAAGGAGATTGTTGGAAATGTGTAAGTGTCACTGTGGTTATTTTGAAATGCTACAAGGGGATTGTTGGAAATGTGTAAGTGTCACTGTGGTTATTTTGAAATGCTACAAGGGGATTGTTGGAAATGTGTAAGTGTCACTGATTATTTTGGAAAGCTGCAAGGGGATTGTTGGAAATGTGTAAGTGTCACTGTGGTTATTTTGGAAAGCTACAAGGGGATTGTTGTGATTATTTTTCATTTTATTTCCAATCCGTTATATAAACGTATCATATCACTCAGCTAATGTCCATATTAAACTCGATAAGGTCACAAAACCAAAACTATTCCATTTCAATATCAACTGATACTAACAGTAACAGTAATACAAACTCCGAGATTCATCTACACATTCTAAGTCACGTTTCGGCTAACTGATAGTTAAGATACAATATTTCATATTATATCAGTTTCTACATTATAATATTTCAAATATTGTTTTACAATGTTTTCTAATATATGAGTTTCTAAATTATAATATTCTAATATTGTTTTACAATATTTCATAATATATCAGTTTCTACATTATACTATTCTAATATTGTTTTACAATGTTTTATAATATATCAACTTTAATATTATTTTGTGATAGTTTTGTAAAATATCAACTTCTGTATTATAATATTTTAATATTGTTTTATGATAGTTTTGTAAAATATCAACTTCTGTATTATAATATTTTAATATTGTTTTGTAATACTTTTGTAAAATATCAACTTCTATGTTATAATATTCTAATATTGTTTTACAATGTTTTATAATATATCAACTTTAATACTGTTTTATGATAGTTTTGTAGTATATCAACTTCTATATTATAATATTTTCATACTGTTTTATGATAGTTTTAATGGTGTGGCGCCACCTATTTTCTAGAACTATGCTGTACCTTGGCGAATGCTCTAGCATTTACTTGATATAGGGTAGTCTGGTATATAAAAGAGGGTGACAACGTGACGGGATAGTAATGTGTGTGTAGATAGTGAGTAATTGAACTGCAGTCAGAAGTATTATTGACGTTCGTTGATATAGCGTTTGTTTTAGCGCGATTGTTGAAAATAAGTGTATCGTAAAGTTGTATTCGGAAAGAATAAACCAGTTTTATTAAGTAAGGACTTGTGTCGATAAAGTTTCGTCGGAACGAAGTTACGGAAAGTTAATTAACAAACGGAGACGTAACAGTATTTACATTTGTATGAAGAGCATGGTTACAAATTAATAATATTTACATTTGTATAAAGAGCATGGTTACTAATTAACAATATTTACATTGGTATAAAGAGCATGGTTACAAATGAACAATATTTACAAAGTTATCTGGATCATTTCTTATAAAGAGCACACTTACAAATTTTAATTATACACTTACTTATCTGGATTCACGTGACCTCGGTGACGCAACACTGCCCCTCCTTAGTATTGTTCGTCCCGAACAATTGCCACTTATAATAAACCAATAACAATTAACAATAACTTAATTAACTGTATAGAATTACAAACACAAAATTACAATTCAACAAAGTCTCTTAATTATACGGACGTATCTTCTTCCGTACTGGTCTCCGTCTCGTTGGCTTCTGCTTCACGT